CCAGGGCCGGCCTGGCCCGGGGCACCCCTCCCTCCAAGTGCAGCACACAAGCCCGGCCTCGGGGTCTCGGCCGCGCGTCCTCTCGTCAGTGACACCTCCTTCCTGCCGTCGTCTGAGTCACCTGCCCCTGGGCCTCTTTCCTGCAGCGGCAGGCCTTCCTCCTCTTCATGCCCCCCATCCCGGCGCTCCACAGACGGTCCTTGTGCGGCTGCAGGTGGATTTGGCGTAATATCCAAACGTCTAGGGCGCCCCCCTTCGCAGATTTAGTCGCTTAGCAACCAATCCAGTTCTCACACAGGCTCCAAACAAGGCACTTTTTAATAAAAACCCCAAACAAACCTGACCCACAGTGACCCGATAGGACAGAGTGGGCCTGCCCCAGAGGGTTTCCAAGGCTGTCAGTCGTTAGGGAAGCAGACTGCCTCAGCTTTCTCCCGAGGAGCAGTCGGTGGGTTCGCATCCCGACCCTCTGCTTAGCAGTCACCGGCCAGCCCCGTCATGGGCTCCGCACGGTTTCTAGGTTTGGGTGCTCTCCCCCCTAGTCCCCGGCCTGCTGTCCTCTTCATGGGCAAGATTCCTAGAGGTGGGATTGCAGGTTCACGGAGTTCGAGCGTTTTTAAATAGATCCTGCCAAATCACTTTCCAAAAAGGAGGTAGCGGTTCCCAGTGCGCCGCAGGCAGCTTGAGAGCACGCGCGCCTCTGCACATCTCTCCCGGGGACGTCAACCGTTGACAGCTTGTGGCGGATCTGCCGGCGGTGGGGCAAGGCGCTCTCTGTTTGCATTCGCATGATCCTGATTAATAGCGAGCCCCGGCAGCTGACATATGTTTAGTGTTTATCACCTCTTCCTCCCCACGTCTTTGCCCTGCGTCCCAGGGGACCGCTCTCTGGGTAGGGGTGGGTGGTGAGAGGAACCCGTGCGCTGCGGAGGGGCCCGGGTTTGAGGTTCGGAGGCTGTGTAAGCAGCCTCTCAGGGCCACGGTCTTCCGGAAGCTGTACGAGGAGGGCCTGGACCGAGGCTCTCCGCTCGAATGCCCGGCAGCCCCGGCCTTGCCCACGGTCAGGGCGCCGCGGGTGGCAGAGGCCTGGGCCGCAGCCAGACTGCGCCTCCTGCGCGCCCTCGTCCTGCATCGCGATTGCCCGGGAGATGTCTTCGGGCACCTTGAGGAAGGTCGGCGGCTGCGGGCCAGCGCGGAAGGGGCAGGGGCAGTCCCTGCTGCAGAACCCCGGACGCTGAGGCCGGCCCCTCGCGGCGGCCACCTCAGGGACCGGCGGGACGAGGGAGGGCAGGAGCCGGGTGCGGGCGAGCAGTGTCCACAAGGGCTGGTGGCTCTAGGGCCGCAGCTCCCCGCCCGGAGGTGGGGTGGGGGTGGGGATGACGGTGCGAGGCATCCAAGGGCCTGGGCTCCGGCATCAGGGTCCTGGAGGGCGCCGGGGGGAAGGCCTGGGGTCCCCGCGAGGAGACCACCGGGTGGGCGGCCTGGGGGGTGTCGGGGGCCGCGGGCAG